GTAGCTCAAACATTAGATTATGCCGCTAGTAATGCCAAGGCCAAGGGTCTGATTCCCAGAGAAAGCAAGAGCTGATAAAATGTAAACGTGTACTTTGAATACAATAAGTCACTTTGCATGAAAGTGTCTGCCAAATGCATGAATGTAAATGTATAGATAGTGTGAGAGCCACAGCACATCTGCTGTCAAGCTCCAAACGCAATTAAAAAGCAATATAAGAGTGTGTGCTCTGCAATGCAAGTCATAGTAGGGGTTTGTGTGAGGAGCAGGTCTAATTATTTTCTGCCTGATACACCTGCGCAGTTCAGCGCTCAGTGCCATATAAGGAAAAAAGGCGGAGCAGAAACGGTGCACACATTTCATTGGCTCTTGTGTGTGTCGTCGCAGTGCCGAACTTGAATATGCAGAAGCTAAAATGCGAGCTGAAAGGAGGCACAGATTCTGGCCCCAATTGTATTCAGCACTTCTGACCTCATAACAAACCAGCTTAATGAGTGTCTGATGTTGTCCACTAGAGGATGCTGAAACACACTTTACAAAAGAGCAGTTTCTGTTGAGACATGCATATGAGATGTGTGTGAAAGGTCATGACCCCCCACAGACCCTTCAATAAACAACTGCACTGATTTTATAGCATTATCCCAAAAATAAAGTGGACTGCGTTCATTAATGCAAGAGATCGTGCAACTTGTACATAGCATTTTCACAGTTTTACCAACTGAAGGAAATGAAATGCAGCAATGCAACATGAATGATGAAGAGTGCAGAAAAGAAAACAATGAGAGCTTTACTCACAAGACACTGTTTTCTGTGAGCTGCTTTGATACAATAGTGAACGTGCACAAACTAAACTGACCTGACAGTAATTACTAGCTGGCATCCGAAGCACTGCTTCATAGAGTGCTTAGTGTTAAATATAGCTGTGTTCAATCCAGTGAATATTTTAAAAGTATATTAGTATGATTGTGTTGTTGTCACTGTGGATGAAGAAATGTGATTGTGATCAGGTAGACACACATTAATCAATATATCACATTTGGCAAGGTGACTAATGAGTTCTCAAGTTTGTTCCCAAGTTTGGAGTCATTGCAGTATAATTAAACGATGGATCTGTGTTGAGGTTATACACGAATCAGAGAAGAAACATTATAAAAATGACACAGTGAGACAGTTTTAAGTGTCCAGATAGGGTTTAAGTTCCTTACAGAAAACAGGAAAGTAGGGCTTAGCACCTTGAAGCTTACATTTCTGTAATAATAAATAAGTGTATCAAAAACTATTGGTCCTTGTCTTCTTTAGCAAAGTTGTGATGACCAAATAAAACATCTTTGTAGAACAAAGAGAAACTCTGTGAAGAAAAGCATGTAGAAAAATACAGAAATCCTTCCAAAATAAAAGAGTTTATGTATATTCCCAAAAAGAGATGAGACACAGGATCAATATCTGGAAACATTCTTTTAAATAGAGCTTAACAGGGTAAAAAATATGAAATTATAAACATCCTTTACCTTATTAGTTATTAAATATTTACATAATAAAGAATTTGTTAAGTACTGCTTTAACCAATTTATCTTAAATGTATTAAGGAAGCAAATATAAACCACCACATTCATATTTATTTATAACAACAGACTTTTTGTCTCCTATGCTTCCACAGAAAGTCAAATATCCTTCTATCAACGTCTGCACAAACAGGTTTATCTACAAATAAAGAGAGATATAGAGAGATATACAGTATACCCTCAGCTCTAGCAACGAGATAAATCTCTCTGTAACCATGAATTGAATTTCCTTTAAGCTTTCCAATCCAACAACTTGGTCAAAATGTAATCTACATCTGACTTTATCGTCCTTACAGATACACCAAGCTAGGTCACCTGTGAGTTAACTGGAATACTGTAAAGATAAGGAGAAGAACAAGTCTTAACAGCTAACAAACCACATTTATCAAGATTTAACTTTAAACCGGAAGCTTTAGATAAAAACAATGCGTTCTATAGCAATCGGTATTTGTGATTAATCTTTTAGAAACAAAGTAGTGTCATCGGCTAGCTGACACATTAATACCAGAGACAATCACTGAATTTGGATCATTCTGACGTGAGACTCAAGTTAATCTCGAGATAAGGTCATGGGTTCGATTCCCACATGATTGCACTGCATTCAAGCTCTACATTTGTTCAATTAATGCATTGAACTTAAAAAAGTCCAACTTGCACTGCAAACCAAGTTGCTTTGAATAAAAGCATCTGTCAAATACATATCATGTATTAGGATGAGATAAATCATCTGATGTCTCGATAACACCAGAGATTTTCTCAGAATTGTGGTCGTGTGCATTGCATTGACATCTGCTGTGTACAAGAGACTTTCTGCTTATGACCGTTCAGATTCAAACACTGTTAACGTTTGTATTGGGTGTGCCCTCACACTGCTCATGTCATGTGACCTGTCTTCCAAAAAGGGACATATGCAAATAAAGGCCGTTCCGGTTCATCAGAATACCGAGTAGTGAGCATGTTTTTCCCTCCGTATAAATAAATATAATTTATCGGTTATTATACGGAAAATGGCTGTGCCAACAAACACAGTAAAGACACAGAAGTTTCTGAGTATCTGATTTCTGCTTCTGAATCTCTTCATTGGCTTCTTTAAGACAGTTATTGATCACCACTAAAGCATAAAGCAAACAGCGATCATCCGTGTATGTTTCTCGCACTACAGGAGGTTTTGCTCCATTGACTTTAATGATCGGCTCTCGCAGCAGCTGAAATTTCCCTTGAGATTCACAATCTTTTGATTTTTACATAGAGGATAGAAAAATGAAAAAACAACAACAAGGGAGTACTGTGGCAAAATGACACCAAGCACAACACGCTAATCTAATCTTCCTTATGTCTATTGATTTCTACAGTTCTACAGCAGATGAACCCCTACCAAATGATTTTAGTGCAATTTCGTATTGTCTATTTTATATATATATGCATATGCTTAGATAACCCGAATTATTAAAAAAAAAAAAAAGGTAAAATAAGTGTAATATTACTACAGAGGTTTTATACACAATGTTGGTGTTTGCACACAGACGCTCTACATGCAAACAGCAGCACAGAGCGGACGTCATCTAAAATCATCCTCAGCAAGTGTTTGTGTGTGTGTGTGAGACAGACTCTTTTGTGCTGAACTCTCCATGTGCTGCTCAGCATATTGCTTAAGGGTCTATTGACGTGTCTATTGATGAAAAGACGCTCTACATGCAAACAGCAGCACAGAGCGGACGTCATCTAAAATCATCCTCAGCAAGATGTTCAGTGTTTGTGTGTGTGTGTGAGACAGACTCTTTTGTGCTGAACTCTCCATGTGCTGCTCAGCATATTGCTTAAGGGTCTATTGACGTGTCTATTGATGAATTCGCCAGCCTCCCTCACTCCGACAGTTCAGTCATCACTCATTCTAAACAATGTTCCATTTTATTGTCTCTTAAATTTATGTGACTCCATAGGCATTCGATGCCCAAGAGACTGCAAAATATATGTTTTAGGTGCTCAGTAGGCCAGACGTTTCTTAGTTTCAGCCTTCAGATTGGCATTGATTCAATAGCTTGCTGTCATTAGTTGATACGGCACTAAACTTTCTTTAATCAGAGATTGAACTGGTCACCTTAAGGGGATTGTTCATCTAAAAAGATTATTCACTCACCCTCATGTCATTCCAAACCTGTCTGACTTTGTGTCTTCTGTGCAACACAAAATGTCAATGGCAGTGAATGGGCTCCAGTGTTCCAGTGTTCTTTAAAATATCCTCATGTTCCACAGAAGAACAAAAGGCATACAGGTGTGGAACAACATGAGGGAGAGTAAATGATGACAGAATGATCATGTTTGGTTGAACTATCCTAGGGTGACCATACATACTCTTTTTCCCAGATATGCCCTGGCTGGGATTTCTAAATTGCCTAAAATGCAGGTTTTGGTTTTGCTCTCCTATTGATGATCTCTCTATAGTCTTCATACACTATATGTAAGTTTATTTGAATAGCTTTGGCTGTTCTCTGTATATCCCACTTTCTCCCACGCCACAATTGGTTGATCATGTACAATTCCTGCATGCTATTGGTCAAACTACTTTTCAGTCATTACCTTCAGCAAGTATGAAAACATTAGGAACACAAAGCCAAAACCTGCACATTTTAGGCAATATGGAAATCCGACAAGGACATATGTTCAAAACCAATATCTTCTTGATATATCAGTTTTCCCTTATGTGTGTTTGTCGCAGAATTAAATAAGAGCGCCTACAGATCTAAATTTTATTACTGTAGCTTCACTTCACATCCCTTTTCCACACCTGCTATCCCATTGCTTTTAGCTAGTCTCAGGTTTACATCGTCACTTTGAATGTTCTTCATTTCTTCACTTTAGTTCAGCTGCACTTGGCTCTGATGCTCCATTAAACTACATGCAAACCGGCAGCCTTCAGCCTGTAGTATAAAATGTAAAAACAGAGACATCATCAAGCAGCCATACTGATCACACAGTTGCCTCTAACACTGTAATCAACAACTCCAATGAGGAATCGATTTATGGAACTCAAGTTCTGCCCCACATCCCGTCCATCATGTGGCATCATGATCAATGTCCTGTTCTAAAGAGCAACTGACCTGGAAAGTTAACCAGGACTCTTGTTAGACTCTACCAGAACACATATGGAGGGATTGTTCGCTATGTCTCCACCAGCAAGATTGCGTTTTCACTTTTGACAGGTGTCTCCATATTCAGAAAACTGACCGGTGCATCTGCATGTTTTAACAGCTGTATGCGTTTGTCCCTGCAGGGCCGAGGGAGCGTTTGAGAAAGTGTGTCACACTCACAGAGTTTGGCTGCTCATCACGGGAGGTAAATGCATTTAGGGCAACTGTGCAAGAGAGGACTGGGGCGTGAAAGCTATCGAAATCTAGCGAGCCCAGCTCATCATGGTCCAGTTTTCTATGCACACCAATAATGGAGGCGAAAATGCAGAACGGCTCATCGAAAACAGGCAGAGGGGTTACAGTCAACGGGACGGTGTCCACCCTGAAGAGGCAGCCGAGGCCCAAGACAGCGTCCAGCAGGCAGGAACGCGGCTCCTGTTCTTCAACGGCCTCTTGTCCAGTGTTCTCGGGATGCCAGAGCGACCTGGACGAAGAGCCGCAGCCACGCTGTCCGTCCAGCCTTTCCTCGCCTACCCTGCACAGGCCTGGTTCCACCTCCAATCTGAAGGGCTCCGTCTCCAGCCTGCAAGGTTCCTTGTCAAGCCTAAAGGGTTCGGTGGTCAGCCTCAAAAGCTTTCCTACCTCCTCAACACTGCAGAGCTCCAGTCTCAGTCTGCGCAGCACCAGCCCGAGCCTCCGGAGCTCCAGCTCCAGCCAGCGCAGCAGCAGCTCCAGTGAGGACGACAGCTGGGACACTAACAGCTGGAGCTCCGGGGCCACCTGTCTCCTGCGCAGCTCCATTAAGCAGCACAGCGAGGAGGTTTTCCGGGTGCGTGCCATCTCTGTGAGTAGACCTGAGGGTACGAGCGATTCCGAGACAGGCTACCAGAACTCCGACAGCTGCCAGGGAAGTGTGGTGGGATCGGAGAGCCAGGAGGGAGCGGAGCAGGTCGATGCAGGGCGGAGGGACTCGTTGTCGAGTCAGGGCACCTCCGCTGCGTCAACGGCGTCATCCAACTTAGAGCAGAAAATTGAAGAGAAGCTCAAGTTTTCTCAGTTTCTTGATGAGGTTACATGTAGGGTCCTGGAACCTGAGTGTCTGCAAGCCTTCGGAGCGCCTATTCGTCAGAAGGAGCAGCCTTGTCCGCAAACATCGTCTCTCCAATGCCTAAACTTAACACCAGTTTCCAGTCCTTGGTTTGGTTCCAGTAGGGATTCTGCCTGTAATTCCAGGGACAGTAACATGTACAAGTGGGCCAAGTGCATGCCGAGCTGTAAGATTCTGGATGCCAGCGAGACCCTTAGAAGAACTCAAGAGGAACCACCGTTCTTGGAAACGTTAGGAAGTACCTACCTAGAGACTGACATAGACAGAGTAAGGAGGGAAGATGAAGTGAGCTCCATACATCTACGAGACGTGGAGAAGAGAACTTTACAGACGAGTGGCAAATCTTCTCGTGGATGCCCGAGTTCTGTTTCAAAGCGATCCGACGGGCCACCGCGGCCACCGCACCGCACCACCTCGCTCCCGAGACCTGCTGTGAGCGCCATCATGGTGAGTCTCTGAGGAATTAACCCATATACCCTCTTGAAACACTCTACCTGTTCAGCGGCTCAACACAAACGACTTACTTCATATGTGTTCTTCTAGCATGTCTTTACCAAACTATAGTTCACAGACCAAGAGCTGAAGAGTAATATTAAAAGGTTTTGAAACAAAGAAAGTAGGGAGTAAGCTTGACGGATGTCTTGAGACAGAATATTTCACAACCTGAGAGCCACGACACCAAAAGACCTGGCACCCATAGTGACTAAACTAAATTTATGAATCATTAAATTTCATCTTTTTTCTATTTTTATTAATAATTTAGGTCAGGGAATAAACTCTGCAAAGTTACATTTTTATGCTGATGATACAGTTATTTATTCAGCTGCATCCACTTTGTCTCAAGCCATTGAAATTCTTCAGGACTCTTTTTATACTTTTCAGCATACCTTACTACAACTGAAATTAGTTCTAAATGTAAATAAAACTAAATATATTATTTTTACTCGTAGTCGATCTTTGTCCTCTGATCCATCAATTCTTACTATTGATGGCCTGCTCATAGAAAGAGTAACAGCTTATACGTATTTAGGAGTATGGCTTGACGAGAAGTTAGCTTTTAATGTACATATTGATTACTTGATGAAAAGACTTAAACCAAGATTGGGTTTTCTATTTCGGCAAAAAAAATGTTTTTCCTTTGGAGTTAGAAAACAAATTATACAGAGTACATTTTCACCCATTTTGGATTATGGAGATGTTATTTACATGCATGCTTCTACGTATTTATTGAAAAGGCTGGGTAGTGTTTACCATGCTGCATTGCGATTTATAACAAATGCTTGCTCACGTACTCATCACTGTTTGCTGTATAATTAAGTAGGTTGGTCCTCTTTATATCAAAGAAGGAAATCACATACTGTAAAGGCATTGTTGGGCATGCTTCCAAATTACATCTCTAGTCTTTTATGCCTACGTAGAAAGAATTATATCACCAGATCATCAAATGGGATTCAATTAGAAATATCCCTTACGAAAAATAAGTTTATTCAAGTGTGCTATTAGTATACTTCTTTTAAACTAAAAATAGGAAAGTATACTTTTAGTCTACTTTTTATGTACTTCTTAGAAATATACTTAAAATGACATTTAAGTATACTTGACTTATACTTAGAAAAAGTCTAAATATATTTGAGCTATAATTGTGTTCCTAGAATCTGTGTTTTCATTCTTATACTGTAGGGTGCGCTAGTACATATCTTCTGTGCAGAATTTCCAAAAAACACAAGTGAAGAAGAAACCGAAACAACAGATGCTTCCACATGTACCCTAACACGATCATCAGACATAAAACAGCATCAAAACTGTGCAACGTATGGAATAAAATGTCGACCAATGAAGCTGTAATAATGACTGTCAAGCTTTGGGGTCTCTATCTACGTTTTGATTATCATTCTGAATCCAATTCATAGTCTTTTTTCAGCTTTTTGTTCAAAATGTTGTTTATTTCTTTATTTTTTATTTATGAAACTTATCCACATTCAAGTGTTTAAAAAAGAATGCATGAAGCTAGAATAAAATGTTTTTGTTTACAAGCAGATACCCTGTTCTTTTGATGTTTTGTATGTTCAGATATTCATATAACAAAATATATACAAATTAATACCTAAATAGGGACATAGTAGTATACTTAAAGTATGATGTAAAGTTCACTTAAAGAAAACTTACGAGTATACTTGCAGTATAAAACTACTAAACTAGTAGTTTACTGAGACTATACTTCAAAGTGTACTAAAAATGCTACTACAAGTATTTAATTAGTAAACTATCAGTGTACCTATAAGTTCACTTTTAGTATAGTTGCAGCACAAACTAAACATTTTGATGTAAACTAGTTGTGTACTCAAAGTTTACTACTGTTATACTTAAAGTATACTTTTATATACTAGAAAGTGGGCCAATTTAGTCCCAATGAGTATTGAAATAGTACACTTACAAGTATACTACTAGTGCACTGATATTTGTATACTTACTACATAAAGTATACTTGAACTTTACTTAAGTATACTTACTAAAATAAACTTGAAGTATACTACTTTTTGGTAAGGGTACCTAGGATACATTCAGAGCATGGAAAATCAGCTTTCTCTTACTATGCTCCGTGGTTTTGGAATGAATTTCAAACTGTAACTCCATTAGAAACAATTCTTTCTTTTAATATTTTTTAAAAATTGAGTGCAGTGTTTAGCAAATGAATCATGTTGTTGTTTTAATTAATTTACTGATTTATGATTATTGTTTTTGCTTTGGTTATATGTAATTTTGTCTTGTGAGGTGTATGTTTGTGAAATTTTATGTGAATTTTTTTGTACGGTCATCTTGGCCAGGACTCCCTGGAAGAAGAGATTTCTTTTATCTCAATGGGACCTTCCTGGAAAAAAAAAAGGATAAATTAACAATCCAGCACTAGATGATCTTAAGGAGTGATTGGATGATCGGTCATTTATTCCTGTTGCTCTTTGTTCACTTTCTGAAGGAACTGGTTTGGATTCTTTTGCTGTATTGGTATGACAAGTCATCAAATGCAAGTTACTTGACTTAATAAAATATATCGTCCTTTAAAACAATGTGCAAGGCATCTTATCGAAGATTATTTTAAGGTCACAGGAGTAATCGAGCCCATCGCTGCTCTGTGACAGCACTTATTAAAAATACAACAGCGTTTCCTATTATTCACACTGGAGCCGCCGCTGTCTGGACACACTTCTCTCATCTGCCGGGGAACAGCAGCCGTATTAATAATTCATTTGATCTTTTTTATATGGAAGTGCTCCTTCTCAAATGCCAATCATAAAGGCTGTGCAATGCTAAAACAACAGAAATGATTTGAATCGTGGATCGAGCAAAGAATTCATCATAATGTCCCTGTTGCATTACAGACAGTGAGACCAAACTGAAGCGAAGCATAGTGAGTCTGGGCTGATTCAGCTCTGGTGGGCGGATGCGCGTGTTTTTCAGATATTCTGGATAACAGTGTGCGTGACGGGATTTTCTCGTTCAGAAATAAATGCATTGAGGAAACAGTGTGTGACAGGGAATGACAGGCGTTCAGCTGTGAGCGGAGTTACTCAGTGTTTGTGAATATAGTGGATGGTTGCCATATGACAGTTTTGGGTTGTGTGTTATGAAGACATTCTGCAGGAAACGCTAGTCTCAGATTAAGGCTGCTCGAGGTGTCAATGCACTGAAACGGCAGAACAACGATGTGTGTTTTTGTGTACCTGGTATTCCCAAAAGATAGTAACACCAGTAAATTTTGACCTTCCTCTTCCTCTCCTCTCCCTCTCCCTCTTCATCTCCACTCCTCTCTTCTCCTCCTCTCTTCTCCTCTCCTCTCCTCTCCTCTCCTCTTTCTCTTCCTCTTCCTCTCCTCTCCTCGAGGTGTCAATGCACTGAAACGGCAGAACGACGGTGTGTGTTTTTGTGTACCTGGTATTCCCAAAAGATAGTAACACCAGTAAATTTTGACCTTGTGGGGACATTTTTTAAGGTCCCCATGAGGAAAACAGCTTATAAATCATACAGAATGAAGTGTTTTGAAAATCTAAAAATGCCTGTAGTTTTATGTGAGGGGCAGGTTTAGGTGTAGGGTTAGAGGATAGAAAATACAGTTTCTACAGTAGAAAAAGAACATTCGTCAATGAAATTAGTCTTTGTAATAAAACATGGAAACCCAACGTGCGTTGTAGTTGTATTGTGAAATTGTATAATTGTATAATTGACACTTTCCATCTCTTTATTTTATCTAAATTATTACTTGCTTTCCTCAGATGCTGTGTTAAATTCTAATTTTGTAATTGCTACTCTCTGCACGTTCTTTCTTTCATAATATATGCAAAAATGTTGCGAGCTGGTCTTCACATTTGTCACTATCTCACTACCCAAACGAGCATGTTTATTTAACAAGCAGTGATTAATGGCTCATGAACGCAAAAGGTTTCTGTGATGTGTTGATGACAGCTGTCAATCAAGTGAATAACCGTCAGTGTTCTTCATCTGTTTCTTCAGGTCTCTGATGGAGACGCAAGCAGCAGCAGGTAAAGCGGTCCTCCTCCTCCCCTCTCCTCTCCTCTCCACTCCACTCCTCTCGTCTTCTCCTCCTCCTCTCCACTCCACTCCTCTCGTCTCCTCCTCCTCCTCTCCTCTCCACTACTCTCGTCGCCCGCCGCTCCGCTCCACTGTG